GGGGGGTATTTCACGTGGTGTACTGGGGGGATTCTGGTTGTAGGGGAATATATATTTATGTGTATATAATAAATTTGAGGGTTTCCTCGTAAAGAGGAAAATTGTCGGAGGAATAATAATGGGACAGGAAGGATTTTGGAATTCATACCAATCCTTAGAGAAATAATAAACATCTTAGAGGGACTGTCGTCGAAACTTTGGTACACTTAAACTTTCGTCGGAGCAAAAGTTTTAAAAATTTTTTTGGTAATTTTTCTTTTTCCAGGTCCAGTGGAAGACTCCCATTTGTGTGGTAGCACCGGGTGTGGTACAGATAAAATATATGATCTCAACCCTATACCAAACCACAACAAATTGTTAGGTAGGTAGTTTTTTTTTGTGTGGCATAGACCAAAGTTTTGCTTTCTTTTGCCAAAACATCTAACGCCTGTTTTCAATTATTAGGAATTAAGTTTTTGCAACAAACTCAAATGTTTTAATCCCACAACCTGATATCTTTTATATTTTAAACTTAAATTATTTGATCTTACAGAATTCATAGATAAAAGGATTTGAGAATCAGAGTTTGTGACAAAGACTTGTAGTGTTAATAATTGAATGTTTATTTTTTACCATTATTCATCTGATAAAGTTTAGATTGTCAAATATTCTGTAAAAAAAACTGTTTTTGTTCAATTATTCATATGAGAAGGTATTATTCTTCTTATTCAGCTTTGTTTGGTGAATGTTGCAAATAAAATAGAAAACGTCCTGACTTGCTCAACCTTAAAAAAAAAATAAAACGAAGAAATAAAAATATGAAAAAAATAAATAAATGAAAAATGAATGAAAAATAATAAAAGACGAACTAAAGCTTGATTTTGAATAATAACAATAATAATAATAACAACTATAATAATGATTCGTCCGGACTTGCTCAATTTTAAGAAATAACTGAAATGAAAAAACTGAAAAATCAACGCACTAAAAAATATTTTTTTATCCAGTGCTGGACACCCGGCATGAGTCCCTGCTAGCTTGTGGATCAGTGAAACAAGGAACTTGTAATAAATATAAAATGTCAGATATATCAGATTCAGTAGAAACATTGAACCATGCCGTAGCAGCTAATAATGCAGAGGCGTCAACTTTTGGATTTATAGGTAGGCAGATAGACAGATGGACAGATAGACAGATAGACACAGATAGACACAGGTAGACACAGGTAGACACAGATAGACACAGATAGACACAGATAGACACAGATAGACATAGATAGACACAGATAGACATAGATAGACACAGATAGACAAAGATAGTCAAATATAGACACATATAGACACAGATAGACACATATAGACACATACAGACACAGATAGACACAGATAGACACAGATAGACACAGAAAGACACAGAAAGACACTGATAGACACTGATAGACACTGATAGACACTGATAGACACTGATAGACACAGATAGACAGATACTCAAATAGAGGGATAAACAGATCACAGACAAGGAGATATACATGCGACAGATAGACAAATGACAGATAGACAGATAGACAGATAGTCAAATAGAGGGATAGACAGATCACAGATAAGGAGATAAACATATGACAGATAGACAAATGACAGATAGACAGATTGACAGCTAGACAGATTGACAGCTAGACAGATTGACAGCTAGACAGATTGACAGCTAGACAGATTGACAGCTGTATATAACAATCCTTGTTTAGGGCCGCAACGGTACAACCCCTGGTCGAATAGTGATGTACTGTACGTTGGTACAACATTTACCACACATGGAGAATACAGGCATTCATGAACTTGACTAAATCAAAACAATTTCAAAAGTTTTGACACTTTATCGATTAATCAAGAATCTTTAAAGATATCTATTAATTTATTCATTGAATATTTTTCGAACAAGAATAAAGATAAAAAATATTCTTCTTCTTGAAAAGTAAAAGAGTTAAATTGATCCAATATTTAATAAATATTAGGAAATTGATCAGAACAATATAATTTTGGCGGCCTTTTTGTTTTCTGATTTAAAGAGAAGTAATTTCTGAATGCTGTAGACACGATGTACCCGCGATCTCGGCTCGAAATCTGTACGATCTCTCGATCGCCGAATACACGTTCTCGAAGCAGTCGCTGATGAGGATAGATGTAAAATATCGCGATCATTTCCTTGTAGATTACAGATACGGGTTCAACTCTTCTACACACGTGTACTTTGTCACAGTTCAGAAGAAATCCTACCTTCCAGGTCAGATCATGTTTTTCCGTAGAAATGTTTTCAAAAAATATAAAATATATCGCCCTGTTGTACTAAACTGATCGACCTGTTTGTACAGTACCGCCCTGTTGTACTTAACTGGTCGGCCTGTTGTACAGTACCGCCCTGTTGTACAGTATCGTCCTGTTGTACTTAACTGATCGACCTGTTTGTACAGTACCGTCCTGTTGTACTTAACTGATCGACCTGTTTGTACAGTACCGCCCTGTTGTACTTAACTGGTCAACCTGTTTGTACAGTACGGTTGTGTCGCACGGTTCCTATATGTACTGTACCGCTCTGTTTTATTATACACGCATATTTGTTATTTTGAAGGTGTATTTTAATTGTTATACAATAGATATTTAAAAAAATTATCATTAAGAAAAGATTAAATTCAAATTCACTTTTTAAAAGTTATTGTAGTTTTTTGGATTTTAGAAAATGTTGATAATGGGGAAAATATACGTTTTGTCGAATGTTGTTGAATGGCGAATGTAAATAGAAAATTAAGACCAATAGTAACTAATTTGCATTATTAACATCCAAGTATTTGTAATTTACAAATTATTCACTACTTCATGTTGGCGCTAGTGTAATGATCAAAGTTTCCTTGCAGGGTTATATATATTGTCAAAATCCCCACTTTTTAGAAAAAATAACATTGAACATTTTTTTAAGGATTAAAATTAGTTTCGTCTTGGGGGGGGGGGGTTGATTTGAAAATATAATCCCCTGTTTGTTTGTTAACTTTAATATATTCATGTTGGCTAATTTTAGAAAGTTTGCTCTTTCTGAAAGCATAATTTTTCTCCTCGCCACCATCTTTTCTTTGCTTAAATCCATAAAAATTTATTTCCCATCTAAGATCAGAACTACTGTAGGAAGTATCGTTGATCTTTGCTACAAACTATTTTTTATTCTCACTTTTACAACCCAATGTCGTAGACCTTAGATTTAAAATAATCTAGTATGAAATAATTGAGTTTTACACCGCCAGTTAGGAAATTAGATTTTGTGGCAAAGACTCCAGCGATTGGTTTCTAAAATATGCAAGATAAAAATTTCGTTGGATTAGAGGGGAGAGCTCATTTTTTTGAGGCTTCCTTTGGTTTAAATTTTCTTGTTTGTTTTAAAAGAATGTGAACGTTATGTTAAGTTACTCTCCATCAAGGAGTAGAAATAGAAGGGAGATATAACTGACGCGGCCCGCCCTACCATATAACTGCTTAGCAGACGGTACTTCATTTGAATAAGAAATATTTGTCTGATGTACAATTACCGTGTATACAATAACCTATTCTTAATATTTCTTATAAAAAATGAAGTACCGTCTGCAAAGCATGCATAATCATATGGTAGGGCAGGCCGCGTCAGTTAAATCTCCCTTCTATTTCATACTCCTTGCTCTCCATTCATAGAGTTCGATTAAAAACGCTACCTTAAAAGCTTGTGTCTAATCAAGAAAGACTTAGAACAAATCAAAACTATTCTAGTAAGAAAAAAAGGAGGATTCCTTTTCGCATTATTGATCAGATAAATGGTTAAAAAGTACCCTTGAGAATCTGGCATGTTCCTCTTTAAATTGACTTTCTCTTGAAATTAAGCGTACAGTCCCTTTAAACCTTGTTTGTGCTGCAGGGGAGGCTGAATCCGGATACATCACTAGAATATCAAGAAGTTGTATAACAGACTCCAACTTTGATACGTACTCTGAGGTAGAATTATATTTTTTTATTTAATTTTAAGAGAATTTTATCCCGCTTTTTTATCACAATTTTATAATCTTGGATATCAAAAGTTTCTTATTTGTTCCGAGGCATATCAGTAAAGTTTTATACCGACAAGCAGGTTTTATTTTATATTTCGCGGATTTTCACAAACAATTTCACATTTTTATGGAACTTGAATTTAATAAATTTTTATATTAAAACTGTCTTATCATTTGGGAAAATATGATTTCGTTGAGATTTTACTTTTTTTTTGTTAGTTTCAATTAAACAAAAAAATTAAAAAAGCCCGTTAAAAGAAATGTTCCGCATGAAAACACAAGGCGTTGCTTAAATTGATATTCAAGGGACCTTTGATTAAAAAGAGCCAATATTCAGTCTTATCTTTCGTAATCACTAATCAGTCTTTTATCCTTCATAATTGGTCTTTTATCTTTCATGATCAGTAATAAGTCTTTAATCCTTCATAATTGGTCTTTTATCTGTCATAATCAGTCTTTTATTCTTTATAATTGGTCTTTTTTGCTTTCGTAATCACTGATCAGTCTTTAATCCTTCATAATTGGTCTTTTATCTTTCGTAATCAGTAATCAGTCTTTCATCCTTCATAATTGGTATTTTATCTTTCATAATCAGTCTTTTATTTTTCACAATCAGTCTTTTATCTTTCGTAATTACTAATAAGTCTTTTATTGTCATAATTGGTTTTTTATCTTTCGTAATCACTAATCAGTCTTTTATTGTCATAATTGGTCTTTTATCTTTCGTAATCACTAATCAGTCTTTTATCCTTCATAATTGGTCTTTTATCTTTCATAATCAGTCTTTTATCTTTTATTATCAGTCTTTTATATTTCATAATCAGTCTTTTTTCTTTCATAGTCAGTTTTTATCTTTTATAATCAGTTTTTTATCATTCATAATTTATCTTTTATCTTTCATAATTAGTTTTTATGTTTCATAATCAGTCTTTTATCTTTCATAATCAGTCTTTTATCTTTTATAATCAGTTTTTTTCAGATTTTAGTAATTTATTATTAGTTTTATTTCTCATATTCACGCAATCTCATACTTCCAAAAATTGAATTGTAAAAATAAAGAATATGCAATTTTTAGGTGAGCCTAGAGTGCCGGGTTAAGGGTGAAAATTACAACCTTCTTCAAGCTGCTGTACTTACAACAGATCCAAAGTAAGCCTTTTTTTATCCTAGGGGTCAAAAATCCCAAAATTCCAATTATAAAATTGGTTTTTTGGTTCTTTATATAAAACCATATCACATTTTTTTAAAACTCGTTTTTTTCGTAAACTCCGAATTGTGGGGAAATCCGAAATTTCAAGAATTAGAAATGTTAAATTTTTAAGTTTTGTCTCTTTTAAAGAACTTTTCTACTGTAATCATGGGTGTGTGTTTTACCTTGGGTGATATAAAAATGTTAAAACTTTGTTTGTTTTTTCAGAGGAGAACAGGTTCTGATGGGCGCGTTTGCCCCGTCTGTTGGCCCGAGCTCAGAACCCCAGCAAAGAACCGGTTTCTGCGCCTACTCCCAGAAATATATAGATAAACTGTTTGATCAGAATATTCATATGTGCTTCAATGGAAGCATGCAGTATCGGAACCTACCCTATATATCAGGTATCAATAGCATGCATTTTAGTTTTTATAAGAAATTCGCTAAAATTTCCCATTTTTGGTCAATTTAAAAGTTTTCCCATAATTCCTCTAATTTATAGTACATTCAGAAAGCAAGTAAAAAGTTTTTTTTGGCATATTTTTTTCTTTCTTGGGCTATTTGTGTTTTTACTAAAGTTGTGAAAATACCTCTTGATTGAGGGGAATAGAGGTCTAAATTTAGATAGATCAGATTGAATATTTGAGCCCAGGAACTCATTTTGAAACTTTATAAAACTTTTACCTTACCGAATAGGGGGGGGGGGGTTTGAATTAGGAAAAACATGAAAAATTGGACGTCTGAAAGCAAGTTTTTTCATTCTTTTTACATTTTTTCATTTAATTTAATTATTTCCCTTAAAAATCATTAATTTTCCCTATGAAAAATAAACTTCTCGGGGGAAGTAAAAGTTTCAATGCTTTTTTGAGATGATATACACCCCTGATTCTGCAGGTCCTGTGGATGAAGGAAACTGCCCCAGTGTTGGGAGTTCAGGAAATATTCTCGACTTTTGTGAGACTGCTCTCAAGATCTCAGGACGAACACCGATCGGCCAGGAGATCGGGATCGAACTACCCAACACACTAGGAATCTAATCAGTTCGATCATTGCAATCATGCATCTTAATGTTTGCCACAAATACTGCAATAAACTCTGCATTGTGAGAACATTTGTCACAAATTCTGCAATAAACTCCGCAATGTGTTAACATTTGTCACAAACACTGCAATGTGAAAACATTTGTCACAAATTCTGCAACAAACTCCACAATGTGTTAAAATTTGTCACAAATTCTACATTAAACTCTCAGTAAAAGCTTGTTATCGCTATAACAATATATTCCATAATATTGATCTTTGCCACAAATATTCAAAAAACTTTTTTAAAATTTTGTTTTATTCTCTCCAATCTATCCTAAATTCATTTATTTAATTTCTGTCAATGCTTCTGTCAATTAACTTATTCCTTTCTTTACTTAAATATATGTAAAAGTTCTTAGATTTGTATTTTTCATTTTATTTTACTCCAACTCTGGGGAAATCAGAAACAATTGTGTTAATTGATTAATTGATTTTTATCAAGTTAACGAATCCTTACATCTATTAATCCAATCATTGATTTCATTTATTCTTTCATTGATTTCTTCATTCATCCTTTAATTCATTCATTTATTCATCCTTTTATTCATTCTTTTTTTTCATTCATTTGTCCCCTTTCATCTTTTTATTCATTGGTTCATTCATTATTACATTAATTCCTTCATTCATCCTTTCATTGATTCATCCCATCCGTCCCATTCGTCCCCTCTGTCCAATCCGTCACAACGGTCCCATCCGTCCCATCTGTCCCATCCGTCCAATTTGTCCAATCCGTCACAACCATCCCATTTTCCCATCAGTCCTATCCGTCCCATCTGTCCTATCCCTCCCATCTGTCCCATCCACCCCATCCATCTATGAACTGTATGGATTGCTTAGTATTGAGTATGAGCGGGGTAGTGGTGGGGAACAGCTTGGTGTCAGTTCTTGGAACTAGTTTAGGAGAGATCATCAAGGTGAGAAACTAAAACACGAAAATCCACGAACGAGTAAATGTACAAAATTTTATGTACAGTTTTTGTTTATAATATTGTACTTGCAGCTTTCTAAACATAATTTAAAAAAAATTATATTCGGTTAACATTTATTATGCCGGATTCTAATTGTTATGACAATTTTATCTTAGCATCTAACTTTATTTTAATTTAATTTTTTTTCATATTTAATTTTTTTTTTAATCCATTAAATAAAAAAAGTTCGAGATTTTGTCTTGTTTTTGTTTACGTTGATGTTGTTTGTTTACTTAAACCCTGTATATTTTGTGCCCGTATAATTCTCAGTATATTCCTTCCCACCAGTTTATTTGTTTTCCTCTTCCAAGGTTTAAAGTTAAATCTTTTCTGTTCTAAACCATTGTTAGTTTCTATCGTCTTTCTATCCATCTAACCATCTTTCTATCCATCTATCCATATTTCTATCTTTCTATCCATCTATCCATATTTCTATAATCTTTCCATAATCTTTCTAACCTTTTTTCTATCCATTATCTATCCATCTATCCATCTATCCATATTTCTATCATCTTTCTAAACATTTTTCTATCCTTTACATCTATGTATTCATTTATTTTCTAATTATCTAACTTTGCAATTTTAACTTTACTGTTTTAACCATATCTTTATCTAATATCTTTAACCATATCTTTATCTAATATCTTTAACCATATCTTNTACTAAATCGCTTATAAGACCCATGTCTATTTTTGTGTCAGTCATTTTGAGTCTAGTAGAAATATTTTTTACTGGAAATAAATGCACTAAACAAGTTATCTGAGTGTTTGTGTTTTCACATAATATGGAGCATGTGAATAAGTTAACCCGGTGTTGGGTTGTCGGTCAGTTTAATCCGGGAGCTCACAAAGACACGTCCGGTCAGCACGGATAACTACACTACACTCTATCTAGGTACTGGTATCTAATGGAGAAGCTAGTGTTGTATATATATATCTATCTATCTATATATCTATCTATCTATCTATCCAGGTACTGGTATCTAATGGAGAAGCTAGTGTTGTATATATCTATCTATCTATCTATATATCTATCTATCTATCTATCTATCTAGGTACTGGTATCTAATGGTGAAGCTAGTGTCGTGGACAGATTTCAAGCCACTGATCTTGAGCCAATTATTCAAAGTAAGTTTATTAAATATAAATACAATTAAACTATATATCCATCCATCAGGATTTTGCCAAAGATAAAAATACAAGTGCATTTCTTTCTCTAAAACCTTGACATCTAGGGCTACAAATAATAAGAGTTGAAACGGTTAAACTAAGGGCATTGCTTTTATAGACAGCCAGGTCTTTCTAAATTTTTAATTTCTATATAGGGTTACTCACAAAAAATGAGACTTCAATGACAAAAATCAATAAAATTTGACAATTCGAAGGTTGAATTTAGTATTTGCACTAAAAATAATCGGCTAAATGTTATGGCCCCGAAAGAAACAAGGTTCCAGCTGTAGGGTAAAAAAAATGTTTTTTAAAAAGTCGGCATAAAGTCTCATACTTTGTGGGTAACCCTGTATATGATTTTTATTAACCTAAAAGAATTAAATGAGAATTATTTATTGAATTTATATTAAAATTTTAACATTTTTTAATAAAAACCATTAAAAAAAAAGATTTCATAGCAATATAAAATGTATAAACTTTTGTTTGCATTTTAATTATTTTACAATAAAAAATTAACAAGTATATTGTCCCTAATTATGTATGATAAATTCAAATTGACATATTTATCATAATTTATGTATTTATCTCGTTCCTGTCAATGTTTTGATTGGTTGGAATTAATTAGGAATTAATTAGGAATTAATTTTAATAATAATTTTTGATAAAAGGGCTTAGGACTACAAAACGAATCTTATCCTGATAGTTTTTAAACCTGGATTTTTTACCCTGAACTAATTTTAATAAAACAATTTTTGTTCTTTTTTATTTACAAAACTTTGAATGTTTAAAGAATGGTATTAGTTGAAGAATTCATAGTAAAATTAACATTTAAACTCAATATTTAAAGACCAGGGAACATATATTATATACATTTGAACTATTGAACTGTGAATATAAATATTGATTGTATATATATAGATGGTATTTGGTGTTGAATAGCTGGGGTGTTTTATTGCATATTATGTATTGTAAACCCTGATCCAGTATTGTTCTCTTATCGGTTAAACGCCATTTAAACAAGTATAACGCCCCCCCCCATATATTTATTTTATAGCTTAGGCTTTTTATCAAAATAAAGCAAGAAATCTTATATCCCGCCCCCGCACCATTTACTTTATTTTCTCTCTTGAATTCTTAATTTTTGTTGTTCAAATCCTTATTATTTTTTCCCTATTTTCCCTTCTTAATTTTTGTTTTTCCCACTCACGCCATTTTGTTTTATTGTTTGTTACATTTTTTCTTTCCTTTTTTATTTTTATTTTGAATTCGTTTGGTTTCTTTTCAATATATTTTCTTTACTTTAATAATATTTCTACTGTCTTGTTCATTTCTTCTTCTTCATCCCATTCTATATCTTCCCATCTCTCCTTTCCTTTACCATTTCCCCTTCTTTTTCCTTTCCCTTTCCCCTTCACCCTGCATCTCAACCCTTCCTTCTCCCCATCTCTTCATTCCTTCTTTCCCTTCCTTCTCTTCCTTACCAATTTGTCTAGCCTTTTTCTCTTCCCCCTTCCCCCTTCTTTTCCGTTTCCCTGTTCTCTCTCCCTTTTGCTATAACCCTTTCTCCTCTATTTTTACCACTTTCTCCCATATTACCCATTTTCCTCCCTTTTACTATCACTTTCTCTCCTTTAAAACCCAGTTCACAAACTGCCCCCCTTGAACCGGTTACTATATATTTGTAGAATGTTGCTCGTCAACTTTTTCTATCATTAGGATTTTAGAAAACTCGATTAAGTATTTATTAGATCAGATATTTTTGCTGAAACAAATGTTGAACGTGTAATATTTTCTTAACATCTAAATTAGTGGGTACGCGCTTAGAAAAAAGGGATTGTAGATTGTAGACGCAATTTTTTTCAACATGGTGCCCTTTAAACCTCTATATAAGGAACAATGAGGAAGATATCGTCGTTATCTTCAGTGAGCCTTATACTAATATACTAATATACTAATATACTAATATACTAATATACTAATATACTAATATACTAATATACTAATATACTAATATACTAATATACAAATATACTAATATACAAATATACAAATATACTAATATACAAATNAGACTTGTCTTGGTTTAACATCTTTAATTTTTCCCTTCACTTTGATTTTTGATTTGCTTAATATTCATTTCTGTTAAACAACCTTTTATGTGGAGGTGGGGAGTGGTTAAAATGAGGGTAACATATACCCCCCTGCAAACCTCCTGTCCTAAAATAGCATCTAACAGTGTTGCTCAGTGGAGTTTATCCCTTAAACGGAATATTTAATTATGCCCGGCCCTTAATTAATACCAGCTTTTATTCAACCCCACTGAGTACACAGTGTAAACGTAATTTCAAATGACCCTCCATGCAAAAGATGGGAGTGTTCGATTCACAACGGTGCCCTTGAAACCTTTATCTGATAAATAATGTGGAAGATATTGTCGTTTTTTAGTTTTTAATTTTGATGATTCCTGAAGTTGAAAAATATTTCATAATAATAAACATTAATATCTTAAATAAACCTAGAAAAACAACAATTTCTTCCATAGTGGTTAATAGCTTTTTGCATTCCAACGAAATGCTGGCGTTTATTTAGCATAATTTTTTATGTAAAACATTCTGAGGTTTTATCCATGGTAAAGAGGAACCCCCATATCTTACAGAGAGAACCAGAAAACGGTAAACTAAATGTCGTCTGTGTTCTACCTCTTACGAAAGAAACGTCGCTAAGGATTTTGTAACTCAAGGGTGTATATTTTCCTGAAAAATCTCCTCTTTTGCAAGTCTTCCCCCCCCCCCAAGAAAAAATTAGGGTTTATTCCCCAGATCGCCAAAAATCATTTTCCCCCAGGGGGGGGGTTAATTTTTAAAAATATACACCTCTGTTATTTGCAAGTATTACTATTGCCATCTCTTAAAATATTTAGTTTGAAACTTATGAATTTAAGATTGAGAGAAAAAAAGACGAAAATTCCACATTCTTCTGGATATCCCTTTAGTTTTGAAAAAAGTCTGAAATGAATGAAAAGCAGTTCTGATAGATGAGTTATGTTTATATCCCTCCTAGCCATTGCAGTACATGCAGTACAAGTAAAGTGTTTCTTTTAGTTATCAAGGAATTATGATTTTATTCCTCCTAATTTATTCTTGCACCAAATGTTGTCAAAAAAGTTTTTTCTGTAAAATATTTTTTAGTTCTTGAATTGAATTTACAATTTTCCTACATATTTCTATTTCCGTTCCTTTACAATTTTTATGTAATTTTATCACGTAGAATTGAGAGGTATGATGTAAAAAAAATATCTTATAAAATAATATTTAAAAAATACAAATCTTTAAGGCGTTTATCGTAACAAAATGCTAGCAGAAGTAATGAAAACGTATTTTTAAATGACAATCCATTTAAAAAAAAATGAGCGGTGTGCCCTATTCACAACTGTGCATTTAAATAACAATGAGATATCCCTGTTTTCCTAGCTTAAAATTAATTATTTTTAATTGAAGATTTTCTATAAAAGCGACATTTTTAGAATTTTGATCAGATTAAAGTTTCGATCTGTGCTTGGAGGGTCACTTGAAACATCATTTACAGTCCCTTAAACTTGAAATAACCGGTTTGTTGTTTAGATGTACTGCACTGGAACAAGGTTGATCTGTTCGTGCTGACGCCTCGGCGGATCCGGAGAATCAAGATGGCCGACTGTGGGAAAATGGAGTTTTGCGGAGAATGTCTTAGTAAACAGGATCCTTTCTGCGGATGGTGTAGTTTAGGGATGTATTCATTCATTCAATTCTTATACTTACTTATTCATTCATTCACTCATTCATTATGCGTTAATGAATTTTTTATCATTATTCAAATATCGGCGTTTATTCATTTTATGATATTATTCAGTCAATTTTTAATATTCAGCCATTATTAACTCGTTTTTCACCATCACAGTTTGTTCTAAAAACTTAAATGTAAATTCATCTAATCTGTTAAATTTTGTAATAACTCCCCCCCCCCCCCCTTAATTTAGACCGCCCTGGGGAATTGCATTTTTATTTGGACCCCCTGGTCCTGGGAGCCTAGAAGGCTCAATGAACCTAGTTGAAAACTCCTTATAAAGTGGTCCTTAAGGACCTTGGGGGAGAGGTGGGGGGGAGGGGTGCTTTTCTACGCGACACCTATTTCTTCTACGTAATTAACAAGGGTCAATGTATATTGTGCTTTTTGAATTTGGTCTCGATTTCTATGAAGCCTTATATTTGTAATTTTATCCGCACCAACTAATCAGACAAACATTTATAAAACAATATACAGCACTTTATTTTATTAAATATCCGCACCAAATAATCAGACAAACATTTATAAAACAATATACAGCACTTTATTTTATTAAATATCCGCACCAACTAATCAGACAAACATTTATAAAACAATATACAGCACTTTATTTTATTAAATATCCGCACCAACTAATCAGACAAATATTTATAAAACAATATACAGCGCTTTATTTTATTAAATATCTATAGAAACAAAATGACCTTTTCTCCCCTCTGTAAATCCCTTTATTATTTTTCTAGAAAAATTGTTAAAAATATTGACAAAAAAAAACTTCAATGTGAATGAGTGTAATTCTACAGAAAATGAATGTTCTGTTGAATCTGACTGTTCAATTCGAAACAAAAATCCAAAATGGCTTTCAATAGGTTAGTTACATATGTTATCTATCCATCTATCCATGCATCTATTTATCTATCTATCTATCTAACTATATAGTTATCAATATAGTTATCTATCTATCTTTCTAAATATCAATCTATCTAATATTAATCTTATCTAAATCTATCTATAAATTTGGCTTGTCTGTCTGTTTGTCTGTCTGTCTGTCTGTCTGTCTGTTTGTATCCAATAAACGTCAAAACGGCTGAACCGATCGGGCCCGAATTTTTTGTGGGACATCTAGGGACCCCAGGGAAGGTTTATGAATGATCAAAATTTCAAATATTTGTCTCCATCAAAATTCGATCTTCATTAAATTTTTGAAAATTTTGAAAATCCACGAAATTTTTTGTGAAAATCCGCGAATTATTTTTGTTTTGTTTTACGATGTACACAAAGAGAACATGTTCACAATTAATTTAGAAGATGGGCGCGAAGCGCCCTCTAAGGCTAGTATCTATATATCTGCCTTTCAATTTATCTATCTATCTATCTATGTATCTATCTATCTATCAATCTATCTTTCTATATTTCTATCTGTCTAAGTATCTATCTATCTATGTATTAATGTATCTCTATCTATTTAAGTATATATATCTAGGATCTGCTCACCAATGTATCCACCTGGAGAATATATCTCCCTCTGCTATCTCTGTATCTGAGATGACGAACATCTCTCTCCAGATATCTGCTCTACCCGACCTCCCAGCCTCCGACCACTACCTCTGCCTCTACAACGGAAAGACCTCCACCCGTGCCCTCAAGGTGCCCGGGGGGTTGATCTGCCCGGCCCCATCTCTTGCCGCCCGTCCTCCCATCCCCCCAGGATCAGATCATGTGACCATGAACCTAGCGGTCACCCTACGGAGCACAGTAAAGGAGTTCGTCTCCACGCAGATCATGATTTTCAACTGTGACGCTCGGTCAACCTGTCTGGAGTGCGTCTCGTCCCTGTGGCCCTGCGCGTGGTGCGTGTACGGGAATAAATGTTCCAATATGGCGTCAGGAGTAGATAATTGTAAGGAAGCAATTGTTTCATCAGACACTTCAGTTTTTCAGCTTCTACAGGTAACCATTAATGCACTTCACCCTCTTCAAATATAATATATTCATAAAGGGACTGTAAGCGTAATTTCAAATATCTCTCCATAAAAAGATGGCATTGTCCGATTGGCAACGGTACCCATAAAACCTTTCCCTGTTCCAGTATGAAGTCTGAATGTTTAAAATTTTAAAAACTGATTATTTTAATTTGTGGTTTCGCTACAATATTGACTTCCTCATTTCTACTTCAGGAATTGTCAGATTTAAACTTATAAACCTAGAAAAACAACAATTTCTTCCATAGTATTGATAAGAAACAGGTCTCACGGGTACCATTGTGAATCGTGTTTTGCCATCTTTGCATGAAGGGTTACTCAAATTTCGCTCACAATCCCATTAAGGATTTTAATTACGTTTTTTGGCGTTGACCTTCCTCGACTGTGTTACAATGAAAGTTGTAAAATTGCTTTAAAATTCACATTTTTGTGTTTATTTGTCCTACTTAGAGAACCTTTCTTTTAATTAGTGAAAAGATGTAGAGTGTATAGACCCCCCCCCCTTTTTAAGTTAATCTTTGTTCTTTCTGACCTGCCCCTTTGTCCTTTATGACCCATTATAGAATACTATTAAATTACTTTACAAGGGATCATGAATTTGATCCTTTTTTAGTTTAATTTAATAAATTTGATCCTTTTTTAGTTTAATTTCATGAATTTGATTCTTTTTTAGTTTAATTTCATGAATTTGATCCTTTTTTTAGTTTAATTTCATGAATTTGATCCTTTTTTAGTTTAATTACATGAATTTGATCCTTTTTTAGTTTAATTTCATGAATTTGATCCTTTTTTAGTTTAATTTCATGAATTTGATCCTTTTTTAGTTTAATTTCATAAATTTGATCCTTTTTTAGTTTAATTTCATGAATTTGATCCTTGTTTAGTTTAATTTCATGAATTTGACCCTTTTTAGTTTAATTTCATAAATTTGATCCTTATTTAGTTTAATTTTCATAAATTTGATCCATTTTAGTTAAATTTCATGAATTTGATCCTTTTTTAGTTCAACTCCATGAGTTTGATTCCTATTAGTTCCTAGTTCATTATTTTGATTCCTTTTTAGTTCAAACAAAGAAATTTGATTAATAAGATTGATTCTGTCATTCATTCAAACAATTCCTTTTAGTTAATTCAAGTTTGAATTCAACCTTTTTCAAGTGTCCATATTTCCTTTGATCATTATCAGCGAAATCTTAATTTTTCTTTTCTTTGGGTTGTTTCAAGGTTCTATCTTATCATTCCCCCCTCCCCCCACCATCTTCCCCTTCCAGAATAATTTTTTTTAAAATAAATTTTTGGGAAATTATTTTTCGGCAATAATTTTTTTATCTCCTTAGTTCATTTTTTTTGATTCCCCTATTCAAATACTTCCCATACACCCCAAATAGAAATCCCCCCACCCCCCATCACAGAGGGATTGAATTCCCCTACTCACATTCAGTTAAATAAAATAAACCAGATGTGCTTTGTTTAAAATTCTAAATTGCGGAATTTCTAGTTGAGTAGGTGAAAGGGGAGGGGGAAGGTCAAAGGTGGGGGGGAGGGGATGGGGGGAGGTCAAGAAAAGAATCCTGGGTGAAGAAAATTACAAAGTTTAAATTGCCAACGAAGTTAATTAGTTTTCTGCCACTATAGCCTAGAGTTTTACTAAGCTTTTTCTTAGATTAAATTATTAGATATAATCTAATATTTTCAATTTTAAAAAAGATTTTAAACACTACTTTATTCTGCAGGATAATCCGTCTCAGCTGATCTCACGAGGTGAAGAGAACTGCCCACGTGTTGAACTTTCAAATCAGCTGTTTATTCCTAACAGTGTTCCCCAGGTAAATCAGCTGTTTATTCCTAACAGTGTTCCCAAGGTAAATCAGCTGTTTATGCCTAACAGTGTTCCCCAGGAAAATCAGCTGTTTATTCCTTACAGTGGTTCCCAGGTAAATCAGCTGTTTATTCCTAACAGTGTTCCCCAGGAAAATCAGCTGTTTTTTCCTTAGTGTTTCCCAGGTAGCTCAGCTGTTTATTCCAAAAAGTGTTCCCCAGGTAAATCAGCTGTTTATTCCTAACAGGTTCCCCAGGAAAATCAGCTGTTTATTCCTTACAGTGTTTCCCAGATAAATCAGCTGTTTATTCCTAAAAGTGTTCCCCAGGTAAATCAGCTGCTTATTCCTAACTGTGTTCCCAAGGTAAATCAGCTTTTTATTCCTAACAGTGTTCCCCAGGTAAATCAGCTGTTTATTCCTAACTGTGTTCCCCAGGAAAATCAGCTGTTTTTTCCTAACTGTGTTCCCCAGGTAAATCAGCTTTTTATTCCTAACAGTTTCCCCAGGTTAATCACCTGTTTATTCCTAACTGTGTTCCCTTGGTAAATCAGCTTTTTATTCCTAACAGGTTCCCCAGGTAAATCAGCTGTTTATTCCTAACAGTGTTCCCCAGGTAAATCAGCTGTTTATTCCTAACAGTATTATGCCCGATTTACAACGGTACTCTTGAAACCTTCTAATGTGTAAGATATCCAACCAACTGCGCCCTTGCTCAATTTGTCAATGCAATATTGGAAATATTAATAATTGATGAACCAGCGATGACAAATGAATAAAAAACTTGGATAGCATGAATTGTCTACATCCAGAATCACAAGCTAGTGTAAAGCAATTCATTCAACGTAAACTTCCTTCGCGCATTTGTTTCTTTTAAATCGATATTTTTACAAAACAATGCATGGGAAATCTCACAAATTTGGCGTGAATTTTTTTTAAGTTATTATTTTTGCCTAATATCGGATTTTGTTCAAAATTTTATTAACTAATTGACTAACTAATTCAGGAATTGTCTTTAACTTTGACCAACTTAAAAACTAATTGACTAACTAATTTAGGAATTGAGTTTGACTGTGACTAACTAATGTCTAATTTGCTAACTAATTCAGGAATTGTGTTAACTGTGACTAACCTAATGACTAACTGCCTAACTAATTCAGTAATTATGTTTAATTGTGACTAACCTAATGACTGATTGGCTGACTAATTCAGGAATTAAGTTTGACAGTGACTATCCTAATGACTAATTCAGGGATTGTGTTTAACTGTGACTAACTAATGGCTAATTTGCCAACTAATTCAGGAATTGTGTTAAACAATGACTACCAAATGACTAATTGACTAACTAATTCAGGGATTGTGTTCAACTGTGACTAACCAAATGACTAATTGACTAACTAATTCAGGGATTGTGTTCAACTGTGACTGATCTAATGACTTATTGGCTAACAAATTTAGGAATTGTGTTAAACTGTGACTAATCTAATGACTAATTGACTAACTAATTCAGGAACTGAGTTTGACAGTGACTAACCTACCTGATCTAAGCCAGTATACTGGAGGAACAAGCTTCATGTGCGAGGTAAGCCAAAAAAAAAATATTTTCATAATTAAATATTTTTTAATTGAACAATTTTTTTTGAAACTGTCTTTCTAAAAATTCACGTTCAAAGCCGGCCGTGTGTTAGTTGTTTTTTGAAATGTTTAATCAAACAAAAAAAAATCAAATTAGATTTCTGTCCATAATTTTAAACAATTGTCTACACTTTGTTTATAACTTTCTGGAGAAAACCGAAAAGTTGCTCTAGGAAAAGTACTTAACACCAAAATAATTGATCAATTAATCAGTTGATAAATCACCTTTCTGTTTTCTTACAAATAGTAGTTTATCATGGAGAAAATTGCAGGCAATAATTGTATTTTCTTATGCATACGCTCAGATTGAGAATAGTTTGTTAAATACTCTAAATGGATTGATTTATCATGTTAAAAATTTCTCTCAGTTTTTAGATATTTTTAAAAATTTTAAAGGCATTTAATATTTGTTTAACATTTCTAACATACTTGTTATATATTTCTAACTGGTTGTTACATATTTCTAATAATGTGATATATATTTTTTACAGTGTGTTAGATATTTTAATAGTATGTTAGCAATTTCTAATATTTGATAGATATTTTTGACAGTTTGATATATATTACTATCATCATGTAAATTATCCAGGTTGAGATAGAAGGAGCGAAGTTCCGTGTGCCCGCAACTCTGAGTGGTAACCTAGTGACCTGTGACCGGACCAGCTACAAGTATGAGGCAGCCGAGGGAATGCTGAACGCGTCCCTAAGCGTGCTCTGGGACGCGAACCATGTGGTCGACCGGACGATTATAACGTTGTACAAATGTGGGCTGGTCGGCAGCTATAAGGGACATGCGGACTGTTCACTTTGTATGACGCGTACAGTGGATTTAGGTTAGTTCTTTTTTCAGACGAATACTTTTTACTTAGGCATACTGTACTTATGTTATTATGTACTGAGTGTAATGAAGTTGATTCTGCTGAATTTTAGTTATTTACCTGCATGTGTATCTTACTTTAGTATACTGTACTTTGATGTACTTACAATAGTGTACTTTTCTTTTTACCATTTGCCTATGCTCTTGACATAAAAAATTTCCCCTTTTCAACCCCCCCCCCTGCCAAGGATGGGGAACTGGTTGAGCATACTCAATTAAATGGTAATAAACATAAGAATCCATGAATTGAACGAAGGGGAGAGATGAGGTTTTTAATTCTAGGTTTTCATTAAAACAAACACAACAGTAATATTTGCAAATCTTGAGTCCTGTCCATCTATCTATCTATCTATCTATCTTACTATAGGTTGTGTCTGGTGCGGATCTGGTTGTGAGTTCACCAGACAGTGTCCTGTAGGACAATCTGATGTTTGTCCTCAACCTCGTATAGATGTGATCCGTCCTCTCAGCGGTCCAGTGGACGGTGGGACGGATATTGTTATTGAAGGAAGTAACCTTGCGATGGGATTGAACCAGCTCAAGGGTCGAGTTATGGTCGGGAATATACCTTGTGAGGTCACAGATTACCAGGTAGGAGCCGGCCCGGTCATATTCATTCAACAGTTTTAAAGGAAGAATAGTGTAATTTCCCTCCCTTCATATTGCAAAGAGGGTTATGCCCGATTTACAACGGTACTCTTGAAACCTGCCAATGTGGAAGATATTATTGTTTTTCTAGCTGATAATTTATTTATGTTTTTCTGCATTAATATCCAATTCATACTTGAGCATACAAAGCTTTTAAGGATACTGTTGTAAATCGGACATTGTCATCTTTGCATGGAGGGTCACTAGAAATTACGATTACAGTCCCTTTAAACACTTATTGTCGGAGTTTTTTTATTTATCTATCTGTCTGTCTATATCTATTTATCTATCTATCTAAATATATAAATATATCAATCTATCTATCTATCTAAATAAATAAATCTATCTATCTATGTAGGTATCTGTCCGTATCCTGTGTAAGACAGGCCGGGTGGGTCGGGAAGGGGACCTACCAGTTCGGTTACGTGGAGAGAACGGTATTATTGAGTCAACTGTCAGATTCAGATATAGAGATATCACTCTCAATAATATCACTCCACGCTTCGGACCCAGGTAATATATTTTATCATGTTTGGACCATGTTTGGGTTACCCACAAGGGATGCGAATTTAATGACGACCTATAAACTCTTTAATTCTGACGTTCTTAGGTTTAAACGTCATCTTTATGCTTATTATATGATATGGTAAAATATGTAAACAGTTAAAGCTAAAGGGAACCATCCATGTAAGGGAAAGGAGTAAGGACTGAACAAATTACGTACAGTCGTCTCTGAAATGTCACCCTTTGTGAGTAAGTAAACCCCTATAGGGAATATTTTTTTATGATTGGATTTAGGTAATTTATTTTATCCTGTTTGGGCCTTTATTTACATATATCCCTGCTAGGTCTGGAGGAACTATGATATCTATTGAGGGATTAAACCTGAATATTGGGAGCAGTATTTCTATATACCTGGATAACATACCGTGTGAAGTCAACCAAAGCCAGGTAAAAAAAAACATTTATTTATCTTTTTTAATTTTAATTTTTTTTATTAATTGATTTATCCAAAATTGCTCTGACAGGACTGTCGGTTAAATTTCAAATGACGGCTCAGACGAAGGGTTGATTTGATTAATATATGAGAATGTTGTTATGAACGTGAATCGGACATGTTTCGCTTTATATGGATGGTTATGTTAAATTACGCCACAAGTCCCTTTAAGAAATAAGAAAAATTTCTAATAGCTGACTCTTATATAATCGTATTGTAAGGATCTATTTTAGAAACCCTTTATTTCATTCAGAATTTTTCTTTGATGATATTTTTTCAATTNGAGTCATTGAGTCATTGAGTCATTGAGTCATTGAGTCATTGAGTCATTGAGTCATTGAGTCATTGAGTCATTGAGTCATTGAGTCATTGAGTCATTGAGTCATTGAGTCATTGAGTCATTGAGTCATTGAGTCATTGAGTCATTGAGTCATTGAGTCATTGAGTCATTGAGTCATTGAGTCATTGAGTCATTGAGTCATTGAGTCATTGAGTCATTGAGTCATTGAGTCATTGAGTCATTGAGTCATTGAGTCATTGAGTCATTGAGTCATTGAGTCATTGAGTCATTGAGTCATTGAGTCATTGAGTCATTGAGTCATTGAGTCATTGAGTCACTGAGTCATTGCATTGAGTCATTGAGTCATTTTATTCTTGTGCATTAAGTTATCCTTCATTTTTAAATCAATGCAATCATTCATTTATTTATTTATGTATCCATATATTCATATTTTTCATTCTCATTTTTTTTCATTTCTTTATTTTAAACCAAATGTTGAATTTGTTTGATATTTTCAGAGGAGTAGGAGTAGGAAGATCCCCCTGTACAGTTCTAAGCAGTACACAGATGGATTGTCCCTCTCCTGCTATTATATCAGCAGGTAATAATACCAGAGGCGTAAAATGGGGGGGGGTGGGGCTATGGGAACTCAGCTCTCCGCCCCCTGTGGATCATTGAAAANAAGTTGGCCGGTGTGAAATTAACGGGGCATTATTGAAGTTGGCCGGTGTGAAATTAACGGGGCATTATTGAAGTTGGCCGGTGTGAAATTAACGGGGCATTATTGAAGTTGGCCGGTGTGAAATTAACGGGGCATTATTGAAGTTGGCCGGTGTGAAATTAACGGGGCATTATTGAAGTTGGCCGGTGTGAAATTAACGGGGCATTATTGAAGTTGGCCGGTGTGAAATTAACGGGGCATTATTGAAGTTGGCCGGTGTGAAATTAACGGGGCATTATTGAAGTTGGCCGGTGTGAAATTAACGGGGCATTATTGAAGTTGGCCGGTGTGAAATTAACGGGGCATTATTGAAGTTGGCCGGTGTGAAATTAACGGGGCATTATTGAAGTTGGCCGGTGTGAAATTAACGGGGCATTATTGAAGTTGGCCGGTGTGAAATTAACGGGGCATTATTGAAGTTGGCCGGTGTGAAATTAACGGGGCATTATTGAAGTTGGCCGGTGTGAAATTAACGGGGCATTATTACTATTACTGCGCGTGTTGTACTTTAATGATATCCAAGTCCTTTTTCCGTAACTGGAAAAAAACTTTCGTGACTTAAAATTGAGAATTTGGCCCGGGGGGGCGGGGGGGTAGAGTCCCTTCCTTGTATACGCCCCTGAATACATTTCTAAAGTTTGAATGAGATTGGATTTAATGTATTGAATGGAGAAGTTGTTGAAACATTTTCTTCTTGTCCTTCCAACTTTTAGAATATAGATATACTGCCGCAGTACCTCTTTCATTTCCTCTTTCATGGCCTTGCTACGTGCCACTTTGGTCGGTTTTATCAATCCTGACTCAATTTAGGGACACATTTAAAAAAGAATTAAAATTCGATTGTTTTTTGAAATTATGCACATCCAAACTGCACAGGCCTCTTTCTTTGCTTTATGTTTTTTAAGGGGTCTCAACACCCCCTTGAAGCTCAGTCCAGAAGCTCAGAAGCTCAGTCCAGATAAATTATAATTCAATAATTACTATTTTTATTTTTATCTTAGAAATCCCAAAACTTTATGAAAACCTTCTTACATTATATTGAAATTTCTTTACTTAATGTAAATGAATATATGTATGAATGAGCTTTCACAACTTCTTTTACATTTTAACAAGTCCTCCAGTCCGGACAAATTTGAACATATATTCAAGTACAATTTGGGTCATGTTAAATACACTACTAAAATGTTCAATGCATAAATTTTCAGTATTCAGAAATAAACAAAGGTGTAAATGTAAATTATTCTTATGAGTGTCTCAAGTTTTGCATTTTGTAAATTTCAATTTTGACATTATTGCTCGATAGATGATTCTTTGAACCATGATTGCTCGAAAGGGGATTCTTCGAAAGAAAATTCTCCGAATCATGATTGCTCAAAACTTGATTGCTCATTCCAACCATGATTGTTTGAAACATGATTGCTCAAAACATGATTCTTCGAAACATGATTGCTCGAAAGATGATTTTTCGAAAGATGATTCTTCAAACCATAGTTACTCGAAACATGATTGCTCGAAACATGATTGATAGAGACATGATTACTCAAAACATGATTGCTCGAAACATGATAGATTGAGACATGATTACTCGAAACATAATTGCACAAAACATGATTGCTCGAAGCATGAATGATTGAAACATGATTACACAAAACATGATTGCTCGAAACATGAAGATTGCACGAAAACGTCCTCGTCCATTATCTTAAATTAAGTTCGAAACTTGTAAAGTTCAAATCATGACTGTTCTAAAGACAATTTTTTTTAAAAAGTAGTTTTTTATTTTCCTTGATTTTGAAGTGTACAGTTTACAATGTACAGTTTAGTTTGAGTAAATGCTTCCAACTTGAACAAAGTTGCCTAAAACTCTAGTTTCTGAGTTTCATTTCAGTGAAATCTATGCATTAGAAATGCAAGGGGAAATTAAAGGGATGGGTGGCAATATTTGAATTTAGCCAACTAGACACAGGGTTGTCAATTGTAACAAATTAAATCTATTTAAATTAAAAGTTTCCGTGGTGGATATATAGATATTAGATAAGGCATTTAAAAAAACCTTATTCTGTGAAATCTTGAAACTTTGAACTGAAACTTGTTAGCTAGCAGCTGTTCTTATGTTATGTAATCTGATTTAAATTATCAAATCCAATATATCTTTCAAGAGCACCGTTGTAAATCAGGCATTGCTATCTTTGCATGGAGCGTCACTTGAAATTATGCGTACAGTCCCTTTAAAAGTACTTGAGAAATCTATATTCTGAACTAAAATTCTGAAACTCTAAAAGATGGGAAATGAGAATCCCAAAGTTTTAAGCCAAATTGAAGTTTCCAAATATTTAATTCGGCACTATTGGAACATAAAACGGATTCCACAAATTGAATTTAGTTTTTCAAAACCTGAATTGCTCAAATTTATCAGTTTCCCCAGGGAACTAGGGAAAAAAATAAAAAAATACAGTATTTTTTATTTACTTACTTTCTTGCTATCCCTACTTTTTAGTGTCCTAGAATTCGTTTTCCTTTATGTGTGTTGTGGAATAGCTGTACATACTTATGCAAAGATAAGAGAAATTTAACAAATTTTGCTGAATTTAAGATTAAAAAATAAACAATTTGAAACCATCAAAAATTTTAAATTTTTGTTGCTCTTTTTAGGAGATGCTTTGGTTATTGGAGGATTTAACTTAAACCTTGCTGCTGATGAATCTGACCTCGAGGTTAGAATCGGAACTGGACGCTGTAATGTGACCTCGCTGACCTCAACGCAGATGTTATGCATCCCTCCTCAAGTAGCGCCCTCCCCCCTACACGCCTCCCATCCGGAGGTTGTTGTTTACGTCGGTAAAAACCTCAAGTTTGAAATCGGACTTTTGCGGTATGAAGTTGACTCCGCGTACGGAATTCCGCCGGAGGTTATTGGCGGAATTGGAGCAGCGGCCTGTCTCACGCTCTTTATTGCGATCTCCTTCATGATTATCTACAAGCACAAGTCCAGCCAGGCAGAGAGGGAGTACAAGAGGATCCAGATCCAGATGGACACCTTGGAGAACAACGTGAGGAGTGAGTGTAAACAGGCTTTTGCTGAGCTACAAACAGATATGACAGATCTTACAATGGACTTGGAGGTAATTTTTTTTGTAACTTTACATTTTAAGGTTCAAATTACGCACCAACGTAAAAATTCAGTCAACATATTTTGATTCTGGTAACCCTCTCCCCTCTTAGGTATATGCATTGTGCAACGCCTTGTGCATGAGAGCAGAGTTGCAGTAGGTTTTGATATCTATCATTCTATCAATCTATCTATCTATCTATCTATCTATCTACCTATCTATCTATCTATCTATCTATCTATCTTTCTACCTATCTATAGTGTTGAACCGAGCAGAAAATAGAATTCAAGTTGAATACGGTCACAACTCATTTAAACTAGTACAAGTTAGAATACTCTTGTTCTAGATACTCTGAACTCTATTAAAAGTTAGAATACTCTTGTTCTAGATACTCTGAACTCTAGTACAAGTTAGAATACTCTTGTTCTAGATACTCTGAACTCTAGTACAAGTTAGAATACTCTTGTTCTAGATACTCTGAACTCTAGTACAAGTTAGAATACTCTTGTTCTAGATATGTAAATAAGTTAAGTAGGGTGGAGTGGATATATAAAGAAGTAAAGTAGGGTGGAGTGGATATATAAAGAAGTAAACTAGGGTGGAGTGGATATGTAAAGAAGTAAAGTAGAGTGGAGAGTATATGTAAAGAAGTAAAGTAGGGTGGAGTGGATATATAAAGAAGTAAAGTAGAGTGGAGTGTATATATAAAGAAGTAAAGTAGGGTGGAATGGATATATAAAGAAGTAAAGTAGGATGGAGTGGATATATAAAGAAGTAAATGGACCTGACCGTTTGCTCAATTCTGTGAGAGGACTTGAGATAAAAAGTAGAAAATAAGAAACTCACAAAACCCTCTTGAGTATTTTCTCAAAGAGTTATTTTGCAATATTCCATCATTTTCTTCAAATTTCTAATCTTCTCTATCTTTTGTTTTACTTTACTTGTTATATAAAAAATATTCTGTTCTTAAGAACTTTAATTGTAAATGGGATATTGTTTTTTTTACCTTTTTTCTGTGGAATTTAAGCTATTTGTACTTTTGTTTCTGATCTGTTTCAACAAGTTTTCTTTGTATTTTTTTAAAAATGTTTTTTATTATATCTGCTTCTGTTTTGTACTGTTGCATTATACTTCATATTTTTAAAAAAGTTTTTTTTGGTTCATATTTATTATCTATACTCGTTTCTGCTTAGATTTATACTGCACTGCTTAATGTATTCTATTCTATGTTTATTATGTATCAATTGCAAACATAAATATAAAAAGATATAAAAATTCATGAGGGCGTTTGAAAGAGCTCTGCTTGCCCCTTTACTATCAAATGGGATAGAAACTAGAAATCTAGTACTAAATAATGCATTTTAGCTTCTTCAGTATAGTTTGTCTTGTTTTCTATTTATGAGATATCATCGAGGGTAATCCAGTGCTTAGGATTCATTACACGTTTATGAAAAAATGATAACTTTGAAAATAATAATAATTTTAATGATAATGATAATAATGATGATAATATTGGTTAATAATCCAGAGATGATTTCAAGGATGCACAGGGGGAGAAAGACTTCTGTCTTCTTTACACAAATAATGCCAATGATGATGACAATAAACATCCTTTCATTCACCCATTCATTCATCCTTTCATCATGTCATCCTTTAAATATCAAGTTCTTTTCTCATTCATTCATTCATTTATTTACTCATTAATTCATCCATTCATCCTTCCACCTTATCTTCTTAATCTACTCATCTATCTATGTGTCCACTTATAGCTATATCTATATATCCATCCATGTATCCATCCATTCATTTATCCATATTTCTTTCAATTCATCTATTCATCTATATATCTATTCATCTATCCATCTATTCATCTATCCATCTATATATCTATTCATCTATCCATCCATCCATCTCTAAAGAAATAAGATACCAAGTAAGACAGGTGGAATACTGATTTTTACCAGCTCCCCTGTGCGAGGGGAGGAAAGCCAGCCTCAAAATATCTCGTCCAAGCCACATTCTTCTCATTTTTTCTCCCGAGCCACCTCAAAATCTCCGTCCTTCCATAATTATGGTTTAAGTGCCAAACCCCTAAAGACGACAAAATGAGGCTCGGAAGCGATATTGTTGTGGTTGGCCTTCCTCCCCTCCCTGTGCAGTGTGCAACCTTTTCCTGTAACCCCTGGACTCTTTTTGTTTAGAAATTAAAATCAAATTATGATCGGCACATGCAATCAAATTTGCCTAAACACAACCGGGGTGAATACTTCCTAAAGGGACTGAGAGCGTTATTAGAAGTGACCCTCCATGCAAAGATGACTATGTCCAAATAGATTGCTAAGTACAATAGATGACAACGTAGTATTTGTACACTCTCAGTACTGCTGTATTCTGACATCACAAGTGTCAACTCAGTTTTGTGTCCGACACAATTATTTATAATAGTGATAATTTTAGAATAAAGTGCTTATCTTTAAGTGAAAAAGGTCCATTTTTTTAAATTATTTATTTTCTGTTTTTACACTTTTTTATTTAATCTTGAAAACATGTCAACTAATGTGAGAAAATTTCGTTTTCCTTATTATATTTGACACTTATTACGTCTTGTATAATTGATCCATTTGTCTGTTGCCACCTATTGTACTTGATAATCTATTTGACTATGTCCGATTCACAAAGCACCCTAGAAGCCTAATCAAAAGAATTTCGTTCTCTCCCACCCTGAGTTAAAAGTAGAGAGAGAAACGCACGAGTGAATTGCTAAGTTGAGATAAGATGAGTAAAACTGTCAAACCTTCATGGTTAGACACATATTAAGGGTTGAAAGATTTGCTGTCCGAATTCATTGAAACTCCAAACCATTCATTTTTGTAAATCATGGTTTCCCTCAAAACAAAATCTTTAAATAAATTTTTAACTTCTATTTTAAGAATGACATTTGATATTGTGAGTTAAGCAATTTAGCGATTGGTTTAAATTTTTAACTTGTTCACTTTAAATTTTTTTAATCAATAATTAATTCATTTATTCATTTATTAATTCATTCATTTATTCATTCATTATTTATTCATTCATTATTTATTCATTCATTATTTATTGTGTAAGGTGCATAAGTAAGTCTGAGCTTGACTCTGCAATTCATTGTTACTTGCGTTTATAAATTCATTAATTCATTCATTCATTTATTAATTCATCCATTCATTCATTCATTCATCCCCTCAATCATCCCTTAATTCATACATTCATCCCTTCAATTATCCCTTCATTCATGCATTCATCCCTTCAATCATCCCTTCCTTCATACATTCATCCCTTCAATCATCCCTTCATTCATGCATGTATTATTGATTGTGTAGGGTGCATATGAGAAGTAAGTCTGAGCTAGACTCTGCAATGCTACAGTTTGAAGGGCTGATAAATAATAAATGGTTCCTTCTCACATTCATCGACACACTGGAGAACCAAAAATCTTTCAGGTAAACAAACGATGAAAGATAAAAGAAAAATAATTATTTTTAGGATTTGATTAATACATCGTTCATTTAAATACTGAAGTTTATTTTTTCAACACAGACATAAATAAAAAAAAATATTTAATTTTAAGTAATAGCAGAGAAAATACAAATTCTGTAGCATGCATCATATCAAAATAAAAAATATATTTTCTATGCCCCTTTCTTAAAGTTTGTTTACAAAAATTACGTACAGGGTTATCCACAAAGGATGAGACTTCAGAGTCGATTGTACGGAACTTGTCCATTTTCTTACATTCAGGGTTCCTCGTTGGCCAAAACTGAATTATTTTTTTGCTATATCATTCTATAAACCATCAAAATACAGCATTGAATGAAGAAACCAAAAACCAAGCTTCAAATCGTCATATTATAGTATTTTGGGTCGTCTTTACAGTCTCATCCTTTGTGGGTAACTCTGTATCTATAAATAGATTAATTTAGAGAAATATAAAAATTACTAGAAATTCAAGGCGCTTCGCGCCCTTCTTTCTAGCCTTAGAGGGCGCTTCGCGCCCATCTCCTAAATTAATTGTGAACACGTTCTCTTTGTGTACATCGTAAAACAAAACAAAAATAATTCGCGGATTTTCAAAATTTTAAAAAATTTAATGACGATCGAATTTTGATGGAGACAAATATTTGAAATTTTGATGATTCATAAACCTTCCCTGGAGTCCCTAGATGTCCCACAAAAAAATTGGGCCCGATCGGTTCAGCCGTTTTGACGTTTATTGGATACAAACAGACAAACAAACAAACAGACAGATAAGCCAAATTTATATATAGATTAATTTTTAAACTGGGCATCTACAAGATAAAGTAATTTTACAGTTTTAACATTGAATTTTACAGTGTGCGGGATAAACAAAATATTTTTACAGTGTGCGGGATAAATAAATATTATTACAGTGTGTGGGATAAACAAAACATTTTTACAGTGTGCGGGATAAATAAATATTATTGCAGTGTGTGGGATAAACAAAACATTTTTACAGTGTGCGGGAAAAGCAAAATATTTTTACAGTGTGCGGGATAAAACAAATATTTTTACAGTGTGCGGGATGAACAAAAATTTTTACATTGTGTGGGATAAACAAATATTATTACAGTGAGCGGGATAAACAAATATTATTACAGTGTGTGGGATAAACAAATATTATTACGTGTGCGGGATAAACAAATATTTTTACAGTGTGCGGGATAAACAAATATTATTACAATGAGCGGGATAAACAAATATTTTTACAGTGTGCGGGATAAAGTCAGTGTTGCCTCACTTCTCATGATCACACTGATGACCAAGATGGAATACTGTACTGATATTCTCAGGTTAGTTTTTCATAAAATAATGATGTGTTCTCTGTTGGTTTTCTTTCGGGGTCAAAATGTGATAATGTTTCGCTAAAAAGATCTAAAAACGCGACGACGCAAAAACGATCTTGTTGTAACGATCGTTTTTGGATCGTTTTTCCAAATTTGATCTTCTTAGAATTAAGATATTGTTAAGTTTAATAACAGCAAACTTTAACACGGTTTCTTGATTGTTTTCTAAAACCTATCCTTAACAACACTAGTTGGAAATTATTGTGTTACATTTTTGCTTCTGTCATTTTTGCCAATTTTGCTGCGTGACTTTTCAATGTGAAAAGCTTCCCTATTCCTAGCAGCAGTGACCCCGAGTTTGTCTAAGCCACTAGCAGCAGTTTTTTGTCTCTCTTGAAGCCTTTTTTCGCCTAAGAAGGCCTGAATAATGTGATGGGACTTTTTCATATAGAAAAATGTTGCAAAGCAAAAAGTACATTAGTGTGAAATGATAAACACAATTTTTAACTGATGCCAAGAAAAAATTTTAATATATATTTTAAACATTTTTGTCAAGATTTGAACTTTGTAATGTACCTTTTCCAACTAGCATATTATTCTATCCTATCCGGGAAAGAATATATTGTTTTAAAGAAAACACCATTTATAAACAAATATTGTTTCACAAAATATCAATAACTCAGAAAATTACATTTTTCACAATATCAAAAACTACTTTATTTTTGAAATTCATTTTGCAAAACATTTTCTTGGGGAATTTTTATATTTTTTTAAAAAATTTCCTTTATTCGTCATAAATGTGTCCTCGGTCTATTTGGCATTTAAGGATTGCAGGATTCCTATTTGTATTCATTCCAATCTTATCTCGTCTTAAAATCTGAATACATGCATACATCTTCCTTCCCCTAGGGGGTTTATATTCTCCACAAAATACCCCCCCCCCCCCGGCCTCCATTCCAAAAGATATATTTTTTCTCTATAATTATAGATTTTTTCTCCCTAATGAATATACCCAAAAAAATTCTCGAGCAAAAATAGAACAAAAAACATAGTTTGTAAAAAAACTTTCCTATACAACTTCCATTTCTTTTGACTTCCTTATTTCATTTTCTGTTGTGATTTGAAATATCATATTTTCTGTCTTTTAATATAATTTGTTTCTTAAGTTTTGACTTTTTCACCTTTCCTCTCCGTTTTTCTGTGTTTTTTTTTCAACATGTGTTATATTTCTGTCTTAAATCTATCTACCTATTATTCTTACTGTCTATATACATCTCTTTTTCACTATATCTATCTTTATTACTATCATATTATTTTATTTGTTTGTATCTATTATCTTTTAAACTATATCTGTCTATCGATATCATTAACTGTATTTATCTTTTTACTATCTATCTATTTATCTATCTATCTTTGAAACTATATATCTATCTTTATAACTATATCTATCTAACTATAAAAGATCTATCTTACTTTATATCTATCAATCTATCTTTACATTACAACTATCTGCCATTGGATCTATTTGTTAAACTCTTTCTATCTATCAGTTCATCTGAATCTAACTAACTTATAACTATCTATCTATCTATCTTTTTAACTGTATCTATCTAATATAAAACGATCTATACTAACTTTATAACATTATATCTTTTTATCTTTATAACTAACTAACTAGCTATCTATCTATCTTCTATCTTTATAACTATCTATCTCTCTTTCTATATATCTTTATAACTATTTATTTATCTATCTATCTATATAACTATCTATCTATATATCTTTATAACTATCTTATCTATCTATCCCCCATCTCTCCCTCCTGTTTTTCCAAGATTATCTGATAACTTGACATATTTTGTTTCCGGCACTAATACCTTGATAAATTAGGACATTAGGACATATGTAGTTAGTTAAATATTTTTACCAACAGTCTTCGTCTGTCTTTAGTGTGTTTGTGATTGTTTTAACAAATTGTTACATCTCAGGAGGTTAAATTATCAAAATGTGCAACATTACTAAGTGGGTTTTATGTTTATCTAACAAATTTTGTATCTTGTAAGCTTTTATCAACAAATTGTGCAACATTACTGAATGGGTTTGACGTTTTTCTAACGAATTGTGGTGATCTATCAAATTGTGCTTACAACAGTATTTTTAGTTAACGGGTTGTTTGTTCTTTTAAACAGTTTATTCGTTATATCTATTAAATTGTTAGTTGTGACTAAGTGTTGTTAGTTTATATAACGGTTTGTCTGATGTCTTAAGAAAGTTAGAATGATTAATAGAAAATTTCTGGCTCAATCCTCCCTCTTCTTTCTTTATCCATGCTGTCATTCATTAATTCATCCATTCATTTACTCTTGTTTCATCCACTTTCATTCATTAATTCATTTATTAATTCATTGATTCATTGATTCATTGATTCATTGATTCATTCATTCATTCATCCTTCCTTCCATTAATTTACTCATGTTTCATCCATTTACTCTCCTCCCTTTTCAATTCATATTTATTCAATTCATCCTTTCTTTGATTCTTACATTCATTTATTCATTCATTGATTCATCCTTTCATTTTCTTTTTCATTCATTTATTGATCCAATTTCGTTCATTCCCTTTATCCCACCTTCTTCTTAATAAGTTGGAATGAAAACACTTTACAGTATCTAATAAAACTCTCCTAGACATCTTTATTTCTTTTTCAACGTTTAAAGGGTCTGTACGCGTAATTTCAATGACCCTCCATGGAAAGATAATATTGCACGATTATGAACGGAACCCTTCAAATCTTCATCTTATCAATAATTTGAAAAATATTATTGTAGTTTTCCTAGGTTTAAAACTATGTAATTCCTGCAGTGAAATGCGCGAATAACTTTGTAGAAAAAAACACAATTGAAAATAATCAGTTTTCACAATTTTAAAAAATGATAGATAATTCATTGTTGATCAGACAAAGCTCTTTGGGGTACCGTTGTGAATTGGGCAATGTCGTCATCTATGCATGGAGGGTCACTTGAAATTACGCTTACAGTCCCTTTAATGTCGGACGTTCACATATCCTGTCTGTGGAAAATTGCCGAAGCGCGGAAAATTGGTCAAACGTTGAGCACTTAATATTATCTTTATTTCTTCACAAATTTCTGAAACTTAACAGAACGGAAAATAAGCTTTTCAAGCAAATTCTCAAATAGATAATAGTGGATTAAACTCAAAATGGTTCCATGCAATTCCCCAGGGGCGTATACAGGATTTAAAACAGAGGGGGGGAGTTGCACGAAGCGCTAAAAAATCAAGGGGGAATCAAGTGGAAAACAGTTTTTGTTCTTTTTCAGGAGTCCTTGGTGGGACATTCCCCCCTTTTTTCAATCTCTTCTGTTACCCGTTTATGTTGTGAAACTAGGGTTTTTGTTGTTTTTCAAACTTTAAATCTAATAATGATAAACACAAAAACTTACCGAGAAAGTTTCACAGAAGTTCTCTATTTCGTTTACTCCGAGTCCTGGGAGTATGTGCATTCAGGGGTTTCACAAAAAAAATACGAAGCTTTAAAAATAACTGAGTCTTCTTTAGACATACTTGAGACCCCCACTAAATGAAAAATTGTCTAAGTTGTAATATACTGAAACCTTTCATTGCACTATTTTATACCGGCCAAAACATTTTCATCTATATTAATAAAGAAGTAATATCTGTTTGTTTATTTGTATGTTTGATCATAACTCAGAAACCCCTTGCCCGATTTGTCTCAAATTTTTATTGTGGAACTCGGGAGAACCACGGGAATGTTCTTAGCTTGGTTTTGAGATTCTAAGTTGAATATGTCACGTTTTTTGGGATAAAAATGCTAAAACCGTAATTAAAAACTAAGCGCGGGTAAACGGCGGGAGTAACCTGGGCAACACTGGGTTCTCATTTTGTTAAGAAGATGTTTCTAAATTGAAATTAGCAAATAATTATTTTTAAATATGTCCCCTATCTCCTATAGGCATTTCCGAAAGAGAAAGCAGTTTAAAGGGACTGTCAGCGTAATTTCAAGTGACTACCTATTTAAGAGCTGCATTGGGCGATTTACGACGGTACTCTTAAACCCTTTTCTTGAGCAGCAATGATAAACATATGGGAATTTTTCCATCTTAATAATTGTTAAGTTTAATTTTCTTTCTGTTTCCTACTGCATGAAGCCCCAAGCTACTTTCATAGAAAAACCACAATTGAAAATAATCAATTTTCAGAGAAAACCAAGGATATCTTCAACAATTTTGCTCAGCTCATTAAAAATGGGGTCACTTGAAATTAAGCCAACAGTCCCTTTAAGATTCACTTGAAATTACGCCAACAGTCCCTTTAAGATTCACTTGAAATTACGCCCACAATCCCTTTAAGATTTGAATCTGTTTGAGAAGGGAGGATCCGTATATAGGATGACAAGAATTAAATAATCTAAACTGCTTTATACCATGCAAACATCACATTCAGACGTAATTACTGCAGGGTAATTAATCATTTAATTAGGTAATAATTGCTATTATCGATCCGGGTTAATTAGTATAATTGGCGATGATAAATCTTGATTGCATTTGGGTTACATATGTTCGGGAAAAGTTAAGAAATTTTACTTCTGATATTGTTTTTTTCTTCTCAAAATTATTTAGCAAAACTAAATTATAAAGTCTTTGTCACAAACTCAAATTTTCTAATCCCTATGTCTAACCTTTGATATTTTTAATTTAGATTTTTTGATCTAACAGAATTTAAACTTTGAAATATCTAAGGTCTACTACATTGGGTTGCAAAGATATAGGGCTTAGAAAATCAGAGTTTGAGGCCAAGACTCAATTTCATTGTTCAAAAAATAAATTTCTCCGACCTGAAGATTTAGTTAGCTTTCGTTCTTGTTTTATCATGAACATATGTTGGGGGTCTGTAGTAGGGGCGTATTCAGGAATTAATCCAGGGGGTTTAACCTTTCTAACTTTTCAGGGGTGGTTGAATAAACATTTGTGCAAGGGGGCTCAGTCCTCATACCCCCCCCCACATGTGTACACCCCTGATCTGTCAGAGGCATTAATTCCCTTTGTCTGAATTCTCAGAATCTGTTTTTGTGAAAGATATTGTTTGTCTGACAGAGTTTCAAACTGTCTGTCTGTCAAAGATTTGAAAATTAAATTTTTAATGAAAAACATTATATATAAGTAAAATTCAGGGAATAGGAATAAAGGGAAGGGCAATTGTGCAGGTCTGGCATGTTCAAGTCAGTCGCATTGCTTTGCAGACGAGTTCGGTTTCACACACGCACACTCTTTTGGTACAGACATACAACATGACTACAGTCAAGGAAATTGCAGAACAATGTCGTCAATTATAATTAAGCTTGAATAACGATTAGTTTATTATAAATTTTAATCAAATTATATTCTTTTCATAAAAATTTGTCTTTATAGTGTTGACTTAAACATGCAAATACTATATTTCATTTATATTAAACTTATTTTTAATTCAAAAAAATAACAACAAACAAATGTACTCTCCTAGACTGTACAAATACCGAGATTCTAATGCACTGTATATATCTACAGTACACGCCTTCGGTTCGGTATAACTGACACACACTCTTTTGGTACAGACACACACACATGACGTTTCCGCCCCCTGGTAAAATTCATAAACTTTTTGTTTTTCTTTTTATCACAGGTGGCATAACTGTGTGTTTGCAACGTTGTGTGTTTGTGCCCAGTTTTAATTTGTGAAACTGAAAAAAAGTTTTAATTATTCGGTTCCATAGCACAAAACCTAGAAAACTTGATATACAGATTCGTGATGGAGGGGGGGGGGGTTGAAGTAAAAGTAAAGGGAAGGAAGGAAAAGTGGCAGGTGTAATTCAATACCCTTAGAAATGTTGTGTACTGATGATAAATGATAAAAATTCACAATTTTTTATATTTTTTCTGATCTAATATAAAAAAATTCTGCTATATTCACTCATTTATATATCGATATATCGACTAATGTACCTATCCTGCTTTATATATATCTATTTATTCTATTTCTATCCTCTGATAGCCATTATTATCTAATTCTATGTATCTATCTATCTATCTATCTATCTATCTAACTAACTCAATCTTTAATAATCTGTAAAAATATTTAGATGCTTGCTGTTAAAACTGATAGAGAAATGGTTAGGAAATAAACATCCACAGCTTATGCTTAGAAGAACAGAGTCTATTGGTGAGTTCATACAGTACATACAGTGTACATACAGTGTACATACAGTATACATACAGTACCTACAGTATACATATAGTGTACATACAGTGTACATACAGTGTAAATACAGTATACATACAGTATACATACAGTTTACATACAGTGTACATACAGTTTACATACAGTGTAAATATAGTATACATACAGTGTACATACAGTGTAAATACAGTATACATACAGTTTACATACAGTGTAGATACAATGTACATGTAATACTTGCTGTGTACTTGCAGTATACATACACTGTACATACTTTGTACATATAGTGGACATTGTACATAAATTTACATGGAACCAAGTAAATACAGGTTACATACAGTTAACATCGTTTATGTACAAAACCCTTTAATACACGTAATTATAGTTTGTTTACTAAGAAAAATTTAGTTTATATAACTTGTAGTGCAAAGATTATAATTCACATTTGTTGTATAGTTGAGAAGATGTTAACGAACTGGTTGGCTCTCTGCCTCTACGATTATATGAAGGAAACTGATAGAGAAATGGTTAGGAAATAAACATCCACAGCTTATGCTTAGAAGAACAGAGTCTATTGGTGAGTTCATACAGTACATACAGTGTACATGCAGTGTACATACGATGTATACATACAGTGTACATACAGTGTACATACAATGTACTTACTATGTACATACAATAAACATACTATGTACATACAATGAACATACAGTGTAAATACAGTGTACATACAGTATACATACAGTGTACATACAGTGTACATACAGTGTACATACAGTGTACATACAGTGTACATACGTGCACATACTACAGAGCGTCCCATATCATATTAGATTATCTCCAATCTTTAACACCAAAATAAACCCTGAATACTCGAAAAAAAACATACATTGTACATACAATGTACATACAGTGTACATGCAGTGTACATACAGTATACATACAGTGTTAATATAGTGTACATACAGTGTACATACAGTGAACATACAGTATACATACAGTGTAAATACAGTATACATACAGTGTACATACAGTGTAAATACAGTATACATACAGTTTACATACAGTGTACATACAGTGTTCATACAATGTACATAAAGTATACATACAGTGTACATACTTTGTACATACTTTGTACATACTTTGTACATAAAGTGGACATAGTACATAAATTTACATGGAAACCAAGTAAATACAGGTTACAAAAAGTTAACATCGTTTATGTACAAAACCCTTTAATACACATCATTATAGTTTGTTGTTTCCACACGTACATAGATAATTTGTAGTGCAAAGATTATAATTCACATTTGTTGTATAGTTGAGAAGATGTTAACGAACTGGTTGGCTCTCTGCCTCTACGATTATATGAAGGATTATGCTGGATCTTCACTCTTTGTTCTTTTCAAAGCAATTAAATTCCAGGTAGGGTTAGTTCATACAGTACATGTTGTACAATTCAGTACATGCTGTACAATACAGTACATGCTGTACAATTCAGTGCATGCTGTACAATACAGTGCATGCTGTACAATTCAGTACATGTAGTACCATACTGTATATTATTCACCATATTTTTTCACAATTTCCAAAAAAGTGCATTCGGCTTCTGTTTTTATTTTCTCGGAAAATATGTTTTTGTTTTGGAAACTACTTTTTGCTTTTCAGATAACCAGTCTTAGGATCCAGATCCGGCTTCCTGGATCCGGATCTGAAAAAATATGCGGATCCAAGGGGATTTATCAACAAAAAACTGCAAAAAAAATGTTATAACTTGGACCCGGATCCGGATTTGGATCCATTTCTTTCCAGTGCGGATCCAGGATCCGGATCTGCATCAAAATTAAATGAATCCTAAGCACTGCCGAGATAACTCTATGTCCTATGTATTCTTCCTTTGTCCTTTGATTTGTCCTGTATGTCCTGTATTCTGCAGGGGTTGTGTCCTGTTTCTCTAGTATGTCCTGTATTCTGCAGGGGTTGTGTCCTGTTTCTCTAGTATGTCCTGTATTCTGCAGGGATTGTGTCCTGTTCCTCTAGTGGTATGTCCTGTATTCTGCAGGGGTTGTGTCCTGTTTCTCTAGTATGTCCTGTATTCTGCAGGGGTTGTGTCCTGTTCCTCTAGTGTGTCCTGTATTCTGCAGGGATTGTGTCCTGTTTCTCTAGCTTGTCCTGTATTCTGCAGGGGTTGTGTCCTGTTTCTCTAGAATGTCCTGTTCCTCTAGTGTGTCCTGTATTCTGCAGGGGTTGTGTCCTGTTCCTCTAGCTTGTCCTGTATTCTGCAGGGGTTGTGTTCTGTTCCTCTAGTATGTCCTGTATTCTGCAGGGGTTGTGTCCTGTTTCCATAGTATGTCCTGTATTCTGCAGGGGTTGNTTCTTTAGAGAAAAAAAACTATATCTTCTTGAAGCTTTGACGCTTAAAAATCTTCCAATTTTATTCTTTTGACATTTCTTTTTTTAAGGACTTTTTTCTGGACTAGCATCAGGGAAAAGTTTTAGGGTTAAGCATAAGAATTATAGGTTTTTGGGTTAAATAACTAAATATTGGGGGGAAATAAAAGAATATTAGGGTTAAATAAATAAATTTGATAGAAATTCAGGGTGTCGTTGGTTTTAAAGCGGACAGTGTCATCTCTCTGTAAGGAGGGTCGCTTAAAATTTTGCTTACAGTCCCTTTATGTTTTCTAAATAAGTGAAAAATTGCTGTGTTCCCTTAAAAAGTGTGTAAATGAGTAGGGTGTATATTATGGGTTTGGGTGTATATTGTCTATATGGAGTCTCTGGTTTACAAGAGAAAGATGAGTCAAGGAAATTGCAGAACAATGTCGTCAAT